TTCAATTTTAATGTATTTTGAGGTGACGGGTTTGGTTGGGTAACGTAACGGAAATGTATATGGTGACACATTTTGAACGAGAAAGTTCTAATATTATTTTTTTCTTTCAAAAAATGCTTTTTGTTTATAAACTCATAATATGTTGTTTTTCAAAAAAAATATATATATTGAATTTATTTAATTGGATAAAAATGAAAGTTACATATTCATAATATGACTTTTAAAAATAGGTTTTCAAACTATAAACCAAAATATATTATAAAGTATTTGATAAAAACTCTTAAAACTATTTTTTATGCATGAAGTACTGTTTATTGATGCATATTACTTAAAATTTAAGATTATAAGTAAATTGTGCGTAGGTACAACTTATTAAAGCTTCATGTTTGAATTTGTGTAACTAACTGTAAATATATATAATCAAATAGATAATAAACATCTCATTTTAAATAAGATCTAAAATATAATTAGGATAATTATTGAGTGATTTTATTTATTATCTTTATAAAAAATTTTATTATTAAACCAAAAAAAATGAATTAAAGAAATATACAAAAAAAAAAAAATTAAATAGTTAGTTTGGTACTAATATCAATATTTTTTTTCAATTTTTTATGATATATATTTATATTTATATTTTACTCAAAAACAAAAACATTATCGCTTTCTCAGAACCACATAAAACCGTATTATAACATCGACTGAGACAAAAAAAAACATTAAAGTCAAAATATATGTCGCTGCATTGTGCGCAGGGGCGGATGCATATGGCTTCCATTGGGGTCCTCGGCCCCCAATAAAATGATGTTTAGAAAGCCAATTTTTTTTTTGTTTGTAGTTTTTAACTTATTTTGGTTGGGCCTCCAACAAGAAAATTATGAAGGCCCCATTCCATTTCTGATTTCCCTCCATCACAATAGAGATGGCCAAAAACCGATCCCGGACCGGGCCAGGACGGTCCCAAAACCTTTCTCATAACCGGCCATAACCGGTCCCGGTCGAAAATGATAGGACCGGTCAAGGTACTTCATAACCGGTTATGGGCCGCCGGTCCCGGTCCCAACCGGTCCTTGCATTAAAAAATAAGATTTTTTAATGATATATATTTTTAATACATTATAAAATTAACAAGTGGGTCACTCAAATACACTTTAAAAATGCATTTTAATATAATTAAAATTACGTTTTCTTAAAAAAATACATTATAAAATTATTTAAAAATATATTTATTTATAAAATTATTTGAATTTTCGGGCTAGGCCGGGCCGGTCCATAGTCGGTCCCATAACCGGTCCCGGTCCCACGAAACTACCAAAAACCTCAACCGGTCCCGGTTTTCAGTCCCATAATCGGTCCTTACCGGTCTAGGTCCCGGGCCGGTCCTTTGTCGGTCCCGGTCCTCCGGCGGTCCTGGGCCGGGCCGGGCCGATTTGGCCATCTCTACTTCACAATCACACACACTACATCGTTTAATTCACGCCTTCACGGTCACGATTCTCACCTCACCCACTGCTACGTTTACATCGCACGCACCTGCAGTCTGCATATCTGCTTCTTCTTCTTGGCCTGCTTGCGGCTTGCCTGCGCCCTGCTGGCTGCTTCTTCTTCTTCTTCTTCTTCTTCTCGGCTTGCCTGCTGTGCTGGCTGCTTCTTTTTCTTCTCGGCTTGCCTGCTGTGCTGGCTGCTTCTTTTTCTTCTCGGCTTGCCTGCCTACGGCTGCTTCTGCTTGGCTGCTTCCCTGCGTCTGCGTGCTTCTGCTTGCCTGCGGTTGCTTGTGCCGACTGCACTACTGCAGTCTGCTTGCCTACTCGGCTACTCCAGTCTCTAATTTGATTTGGATAAATTTTTTGATTTCCAAATTCCAATATTTAATTTTGAATGATTTGGTAAATGCTTTATGTTAGGTTAATTTGGTAAATGCTTTATGTTAGGTTGATTTTGGTAAATGTTTTATGTTAGGTTAATTTGTTGTTTGCTTCACAATTGATGATTTGGTAAATGTTTTATGTTAGGCTAATTTTATAACTTTATAGACAAATGAAAATGTTAGGTTAATTTTGCAATTTTGTAGGAAAATAGAAATGTTAGGTTAATTTTGCAAATGGAAATGTTATGTTAATTTTATAGGAAAATGGAAATGTTAGGTCAATTTTGTAATTTTTGTGTTGAAAAGCAATATGCAAGACAATTAAAGATCAAATGTTATTTGTGAATTATATGATCAGGCAGAAGGAATAATTCCTAGTTGGTAGGTCTCCTTGGGTGCTCATCTTAAGAAGAGTACTAAAAGATTAAAACATAAGCCTTAGAAGTCACTCTCCACTACATCATTGCATTTCAGTAAGCAGGATACTCAGTACACACATGAAAAGGTAAATATACTAGTCATATTCACTCAACAAATATAAATTGTAGAGTCAATGTCTAGCTTACTTCAACCGCATTAGTTATCTTTATTCGGTTAACCGAACAGTTTAAGCTGAAAATGAAAACCCGAAACCTTTTTTGGTTTGGACGAATTGTTCGGTTTCAAAAAAATTTCGACCCTCTTAAGTGTGCCTCCAACCATAATAGTTTCTATATCCGCCACTGATTGTGCGGGTATTCTTTTAATAAACCAAAACAAGATACAGTTTTGCAATTAATATAATAAAAAAACAAATTAATTATCATTATTTGTATTAAATTAGGATCCACCTTTAAAAAGTATTTTTTACTATTTTTTATTTCATTTTATTAGAGTTTTCTATTGAAGATATTTCTTTTATATTCACCCCCCATTTTCTAATCATTTACAAATTTGGTCCATGGTTTCTTAAAAGTAATATTTTTCGTCCATATAGTTTTGAAATTACAAAATAACCATCATGGTTTGCAAAAATGTTTAGATTTAATCCGTTTCTCTCACGACCGTTAAAAAGATTCTGTCAAATAAAGGACTTTTTTGATCTTTTATCTGATTTTTTTGTCTTCTACTCAATCAAAAACCACAAGAACTAAAATTATATAATTGATTTTGATTGGGTAAAATACAAAAGAATCGATGAAAAGGATAAAAATACCCCTAATTTAGTGGAGGTTCTTGATGACCATTAGAGAAAGTGACCAAATCTAGACCTTTGTGCAAACCAGGATGACAATCTTGTAATTCTGAAATTGTAGGGATAATAATGTTATTTTCGACAAAGCACATGAACCAAATTTGTACTTGTACTTTTTTATTTATTAGATGACCTTTGTGGTTTGTTAAAAACTAGAAGCATACCCGCACAATGTAGCGAGATACATCGAGATAATATTTTATTTTATTTGTTGTTTCTGTCGATATAATACGGTGTTATTTTTATTCATAAAAATATTATGTGATTTTGAGAAAATGATAATATTTTTATTCATAAAATTTTTAAAAAAAACGTATCAATATAGTATCAAATTAACTATTTAAAAATTCTCATTTTTTATGTAATTTTTTTAATTCTTTTTTTTAATTATAATTCAATTTAGGTTTAATAACGAAATAATTTATTTTTGTTTAATAATATAATTTTTATAACGATAACAATTAAGTATTTTGTTATAAATACAACTCAATGATTATCCTAATTATGTTTTAGATTTTTTATATTTAAAATAAAATATTCATCATGTAGTTGATTCTACAGTTACTTACATGAATTCAAACATAGAGTTTTATTAACTTGTACTTACGTACAATTTACTTATAACCTCGAATTTTAAGTAATATGTATCAATAAATAATACTTTATGCATAAAAAATGGTTTTTAAGAACATTTGTCAAATGCTTTATAATATATTATAGATTATGATTTTTGTTCTTGTGATTGAGAAATTGTGGTTTTCGCACATATGGTTTGTAATTAATTACTATTTTTCGTCTTTATGATTTACAATTTATTATTGTTTCAATCCATCGGTCCAAGTATTTATTATCCCTTGTTCTTAAAGGTAGCAATTTAGTCTAGGAATGAAAATAACAACAAATTACAAACCATATAAACAAAAATCGCAATTTCTAAACCAACCAGACGAAAATGGAAATTCTTAAAAACAGGGATGAAAATCATAATTTACTCTATTTAAAATAAAAACAAATATTTTGTTTATTATCAAATACGTCATTAAAATGCACTCGTTGAAACGATTAAAATGATACAAGTATCATATATTAAAGAACATAAACACCATATAAGAAATTACGGAGAATTCGAATAACAATAGGAACTTGATGAGTCAATTCACCGAAACGTCTTGCTTTTACTGCTATACCCGAGTTACTCCACGTATTGCTGATATAAAACATAGAATGGGTTTGTTTTTGTCTTTCCTTGAATAATTTTCACAGCTCGATAGATAATTTAATAAGTCAATGTTTTTGTTTTATGTGTTTCAAAATACGGTTAACCAACATGATAACTAATCGATTACATTAAATTGGAATGAATTTTGCAATTTTTTTTTCTCCTACCTCGACATGACATGAGCATAAAAGGGCTTCAAGAACCAATTTTCTTTTTATAAAAATTAAAATCACTTATTTCGGTTTGGATATGGTATGAAAATAAAACGTTACATTAATTGATTTAATAAACGTGATTAACGATGGTTACAACTTTATTTTTTAAATTAAAAAATACATCCTTTTTATTTTTTTAATTTGAAAATAAAGTTGTGACCTCCGTCTATTAAATTAATTAATAAAGGGTTAATTAATGTCTTATAATTTAAATCGAAAAAAAAATATAATTAAAAATTTGATAAAAATATCATTTTCCTTACTTTAATTTTGATTTTATAATATTTATGTTGATTTTTAAATGTTTTTTCTAAACCCGATACTATAAAAATGTTAAAATATTAAATGTAACTCATTTTTCAAAAGTTTGTTTTTTTCCATTTTTATGAATTCATGTAGGGTCCCCTTTGTCTACCCATATATAAAGATGACGATTAATCCGCAATCCGTCAAAAACACACTGATTCATGGCGGCAGAAGCAGCAGCCAAAGTGAAATCGATCTTCCTATATCCGATTAAATCGTGCAGGGGTATCTCTGTTTCAGAATCACCCATCTCTGCCACCGGTGAGGATCGTTTTCTTCATATACTTCTTGCATTTTTGGCAGTATTTCCAGCAACTTTATGGCAATTCCTAAATTTCTAAATTTCTTGATCCATTTTGTATTGCCAATTGAACTAATTTATGGTTTAAGATCATGAGTGACCTAAATTTTTCCATTGAATTTGTTAAATTGTACGATCTCCCGCGGAAAATGAAAAATTGGGCTTAAAGATTACCCTAGCTAGATTTTGGAAGCATGATTTGTACCAACACATTTATATAGCTATGTTGATGAAAGGGGCATCATTTGTAATGGACTATTTATAGGCAATTTCAATTTTGAGGTAATAAGGAGTTCGATGATGCCATTCTGAAATTACTACGAGCTAGAAATTTGTGGTTTGCAAATGAACCAGGATAAATGATAAAAATTGTTGTTCTCTTTTCTTATATCTCCTTTAATATAGGAGCTACTTAACCTTGTATCTCTACTTACTGTTAACGTTGAATTAACAGGGTTTAGATGGGATAGACAATGGATGGTTGTGAATTCCCGAGGCAGAGCTTGTACTCAAAGAGTGGATCCAAAGTTAGCTCTAGTTGAGGTAGAGCTACCTGATGATGCAATATCATTGGCTTGGAAGCCAAACAAGAGCTCCTACCTAGGTAAATAATAATCTCTGATCTTTCCACCATTTGCTTACTACTTTTATGTCAAATGGCTGTTCCAAACCCTTTTTGGTTTGATGCTGCCTCAACTGCTTGGTTTCTAATAAACTGGATGCCCTCGGTAGTTCTTGGTGGGGCTGTCTCATTTTCGGTTCTTTTCCCTATGAAACATTTGTTGAGCCTATGGTATTTGGTAATACTTGCTTCATCCGAGATACTAGACCTCACATTGCTGAGTTGGATCCTGAATCTCTTATGTGTATTTTCCTAGGCTATTCTCGACCCCTAATTCTCTTCTACACTTGACTATTATGTTGTTTCAAGAGATGTCACCTTCCAAGAATTATATTTCTTTCTTTCTTATTTCCATCTCTAATGCATCGAGGGTGAGGATGATGATTTGTTAATCTACACAATATCATATTTTGACTCTTAAACAGGTTGTGCCTTGCCTTTTCTCCTGAGTCCTGAGCAGTCTTCAGAGTTTGACCTCGTCCACATGTTGTTCAAGTTTATGATAGTCAACATCATACTAATTCTCATCCTTGACCTCCCTCTTCGTCTCATATTCACATACTACTCCTCAAACACAACCGTTTTATTTGCGTATTGTCCTTCGAAAAGGTAAACTTACTTGGTGAAGCATTGAGGATGGTGTGAGACTATTTTGATGTACACTGATGTCTATTCTGGATGGCGTGCTGCTATTGGTTGAGGAGATGAAGGCTCTTAATCATGTTGTCTTTTGGACATTGGTAAATTTGTTCACAGAAAAAATGGCAATTGGACTAAAGGGCCATTTGCCTAGCATTATCCGGGGTTACAGGTAGAGCCCAACCTCCATGAGCTCAAAGGTTCAAATCTCAACCTCCATGAGCTCAAAGGTTCAAATCTCACCAAAGGAGAGGAGGGTGTGTGGGCATTTTGATGCACACAACAATGTGATAAACCTCCTTTGAGGTTTACGTACAAAAGGAGTTAGTTGAGTCTGTTTAGTCTTTGCTTTAAACATGAATAAGGGAGGGGTAGATTGGTAATTCTGTTTGCTTAAATAGGGAGCTGTTGGTAGTAGTCGGGTATTCTGTTTTGTGAATCCTGTTGAGTTCGTTTGGAGCATAAGCTCAGGGAGAGAACCCAGACCTCTCGAAAGTCTGGGAATTGTACCGTTTTCTTACTTCAATAGATTGGCCGACAATTTCATTCATATATGTTTTAATCGTCGAGTTCTAGCTACTGTAATCCTGCTATCGTGTGTTTACGCTTACGAATTAGGTTAAGGAGTACGATTTCTGTTTACGTTTCAAGCTAGGGTATAACACAATGTCAAATGAATAGTTTCTAATTGAAATTGGATGATTACAACGGTTTCTCAGCTTTCGAGAGGCTGAGATCTCTCCATGGCGTTCGCCTAAAACAAACAAAACAGAATAAAGTCACCGCCTTAGTTATATACTCACTATACTTCTTTACATACTTGTACTAATGCAATTGTACAATTCTACCACCACCCACCCTTTTTGACTTACTGGACCTTCTAGGCCTCCAATGACTTCCTCCCCAAGCCCAACCACCTACATTGACTTTTTGACTGATAACACTACCCAAGGTAAAACAATACCCTCCCCCAACTCTCATTTTGTCCTTAAGGTGGGATAAAATAAATGATTCCAACTCCTTACATCAATAACTAGTGGTGGTGGTGGTAGTAGTGGCGACGGTGGTTTCTGATGGTACACCAGTGGAGACGGTGGTTCCTTATGTAGTTATGTTATTAATCGAAGAAGATTTACAGTCTTGGGGGCATACCCTCATATACCACAACATGATGATGTTAGAATAAGGATTTGTGCAACAATAATCTCCAAAACAGCAAGGAGATAACGTTAAAAATGGCGCACGGCCCAAAAGCATGCACTTTACAAGTAGAAAGGAGAATGATATCAACCACACCAATTAAATACGGTACTTATAAAGATTCTGATGCCAGGGTGTTTTGATAGAATGTACAAGCGCCGACCTCAAAGGGGGTGTGGGGTGATTTGTAGGACTTTGAAGGACTTAGTAGTTAATATTAGTTAGTTGCCTTTTATTATTAGGATATTTTCTAGTATGCTATTTGAATTAGGGTAGGTTTAGGAATCTTGAGTATATATAGGTCATTAAAGACAAGGATTTGGGGGGAGGAAAAAGTTCAGTCTAGAGTCTGGGAGATCACCTACTTCTTGACTTGTACCCACTATCCTTGTTATTTCTTTCATTCATTGATAAATAATATAAGAGTTCAGTTTGCGTTCCTACAAGATTCATTAAGATTTTGGCTACCATGTTTTGCAAAACTTTTGCAGTCTTCTTTTGATCCCTAGCTATCACTCCATATTTCATTTGCTACTTACTGTTCTCCAATTTTGCTTCTTTACACATGTAATGCGTAATTAGGCTCGAAATCGTTTTTGAGTATAGTTTTTAGTGTTCTCTTCTTCATGTATGATGGTAAAGATCCTATAACTAATAAAAATTTTTTGGATAGTACAGTAATAGTTTCACTGATGGCCTTCATTGGAATAATTTCTTTTGAATGCGGTGATAATGACTTGTGATTGCATGTATAATTTTCACAATCATATAGCAGTTTAACGTTGAAGTATTGATCTACAATGTAAAACTCAGTGATAAGAGCACCTGGGATGGATGAGCTGAAGGTCTCATTGTGTAAACCACCTCAAACATGTGATGGTGTCTCGGTTTGGGAATGGTCAGGATCTGCTTTGGATGAGGGAGATGAAGCCTCCAAGTGGTTCACCAATTATCTTGGCAAGCCCAGTCGGTTAGTGCGTTTTAACGAAGGTAATTTCATTTCTAGGCATTAGAAGCTCTAAATGAGTAGATAGATGGGCATGTGAGACATGGTGTTTGTGCTCCACCTTATCTATGTCTCTTTATGCCTATTGTTTTTCAACATCTTTTTGTCTATTGCTATAAATTTTACAGCAAAAATGCAACCAAGTTTGCTTTAGTTCCTGTTTACTATAATAAAGTTTCAATATTTTGTACCCATTTTCACTGATGACATGTTGATTTTATAGTATTTAATGACTAGGATGACAAGTTTTTTGTCCTTTACACGGGTATCCACATCGTCAGATGTTACAAGATCAACAGGTTACTGGTAAAAATGGTACAAAATAAGAAAAAATGGAACTTTGTTACATATATCGATAAAAAGAAACTTCGTTACACTAAATTGGAACTAACACAAAAAAATCTGTGCTAAATTTTATACTAGACCTAGTGCTTTCACATGTACCACATCTTTCTTGAACTCATACTGTTGTACTCCATTAAATCCGGACTCACATTTTCGGTCGTATGAAGTTTTCAACTCGGTCGTTGATGGCAGCTTATGAAGGCTTCACCCGTAATATTTGAATATAAGCAATGTTGTTTGTCATCATTTTGGAGGAGTGCTGCTCATATGATAACAACTTAATTTGTAGAAGATGTTTTTCTATCTTAGATGAATATGATAATCATAATAACAGCCTTAGGCCAAAGGTATCTTATTTTTTGAGCTTATTGCAAAAGTCTCGTATGATAAGCCATAAGCTAGCATTTTGAAAAGCTACTTCTACTTCTAGTAGCATTTCAAGTAGCATTTCTACAAGATCCAGGGATTTTCCCCCCAATTATGGCCCTTGTATTTTCTTAATTAATTTTTCAACGTTTCTTTTTAGGTCATTTTACATTTGTTATCTAGCTTATCAGCTAGTTTTTACCAAACATTACTAGCTTATAGCCAACTTTTCACTAACATAGCCTTAGGGCCCGTTTGTTAGCAGCTTAATGAACTTAATTGACTCGCAACTTATTTGGTCAGCTAGACATGACTGTTTGATAGGGGCTTAATGACATAAAAAATGACTTATTCAGCAACCTTCTGGGGGAGCTATATGCAGAAAGCTAAGCTTTTTCTAGATTGTATTTTCATGCATGTATGGAGCAACAAAACTCTATGAAAAGATGGTGGTTCAATCTATACACGCCCTTCCATCTATTAAAAAACCCTCCCAAACAAAAACCTTCCCAATCTATACAGGCTGATTAATCCACATGGATAGCTTTATCCATACAGGATTTAATGGAAAACAAACCAAACAGCCCCTTAGTGGCTTCAGGGCGTTTACCAAACACTTACCCGGCAAGCAGTTATCGGTAAAATTCAACACTATACTTGCTTACCGGGTACGATTTTAGTCAACAAAAGAACGGCAACATATGCAACAATCTACCCGGTAAGCGCTAACCATGGTAAGATTCGTTGCCCTCACTTACCGGGTATGACTCTCGGTTCTTGCTTCACTCGTACCGGGTAATATTTTTGGTCCTTGGTCATATTCATCCGGTAAGGTAATGTGACTTGCTAAGCACTTACCGGGGGTAAGCGTTTGGTAAACGACCCCTTCTTCTTTTTCCCATAAAAAATTAAATAGTAATTTTGATGTTCTTATAGAGTCGGAGACTAGACCTGTGGACCACAATTATGCTCCTGGATTCCGAGTTATGTTTTCTGATGGATACCCATTCCTTTTAGTGTCTCAGGTCAGTTTTCTAGTTTTTAATTTTTGCATTAGACATTAAGTTTAGGAATAAGTTGGATCTTTAATTTATAATGCAATTTGGCAGGGATCTCTAGATGCATTGAATGAGCTTCTCAAGGAACCTGTACCAATAAACCGATTTAGACCAAAGTATATATCCAAACTTACAATTCTAGTTCATTGAAGGCTTGTGTATAATTAGTTTACACAACTTTCGATTTTGTCACAGCGTTAGTGGTCATACTCTTTTATTTATGTATTTCAGCATTCTGGTTGATCGTTGTGAACCGTTTGCCGAGGACTTATGGAAGGAGATTAAAATAGGAAATTTAGCATTTCACGGTGTCAAGCTTTGCTCCCGCTGTAAGGTAAAAGAGTACATCTGTCGTGAATTGTTAGCTACTTGTCAATATGATCATCAATTGAATGTTACTCCCTCTGTCGCAAAATAAGTGAACATTTCTAATTTAGTTTGTCCGGAAATAAGTGTGCACTTTCAAAAGAATTGCCTACTTTCCAATTCTACTCTTAATTATGAGATGGATGGAGAAGCTCATTACCCTCGTTATTATTAAGGGTAAAATTGTCGTTTAGTTTATTAAAAAAGTGTAATAATCAAACATTTAGAAACTGCGTGCATTTTTATTATGGGACGGAGGGAGTAATTCTTACACATGCATGCAAACAATTTATGCTATTCCGCCCTTTTTGGTAATGTGTTTAGAGAATGTCGCTTCGATAACCAAGTACTCTTCAGGTGCCCACAATTAATCAGGAAAATGCAGTTTCAGCTTCTGAGCCGACTGAGACTCTTGTGAAGTTTCGTTCTGGAAAAGTGTTAATTCCAGGTCGAAAGGGGCAAGCAATGGTGAGTTCCCTACCTTTTAACATCTGGAACAAAACTAGAGTCTCACTTTAACTTTCTACTTCAAAGTTCATGTCTACTAGGATCTAAATACTTTTGGCCATGTTTGGTAAACTATAAACTAGCTTCGTTTAAAGGCCATCTTTTTGAAAAAACTACTTCAGATATCTTTTCAAAAAGCTCGAGGGGATTTTTCAGTTTTTTCCAATTATACCCCTTAGAGCATCTCAAACAGGTAACGAATTCTTCAAAATGAAGATTTTGGGGATTTTATGCTGCTACTTTTTTTCTCCAACAGAATTCTCCAAAACTTTAGCCAAAATGGAGAAAGTAGAAGAGTGATGGTAAATGTTTAGGAGAGATAAGTAAGTTTTTATAAAACGTATATAATATTTTAATGATATAATTAGTGTTCGAATCTCCAAAATATATGTAATTTTTTTTTTTGGAGATTTTAACTTTTGATTCTCCATTTTGATTTTTTTGGAGATTTTAACTTTTGATTCTCCATTTTGATTTTTTTTTTGGAGATTCTGATGCAGATGCTCTTATGTTAGAATTTAGTAATTTTTCAACATGTCCTTTTAGGTCATTTTACTTTGTCATTTAGCTTATAATCTACTTTTTACCAAATGTCACTAGCTTATCAACTAACATTTAGCTTATTAGTCAACAACTAGCTTTTAAACTAACAACTAGTTTATCAGCCAACAACTAGCTTAGCAGCTAGTTTGCAAAACATATCCTTTATAAAGTTTTAATCTTTCACTTTTGTTATCAACACATCAATATGACATCCCATCTCACATCATCTTTGATTAAGAAATTTAAGCCCTTTGTAAGCCGTAGGTTGTGGGATACTGGAGTTGATCCGGAGGTTATTGGGCACGTTTATGTTGGACAAATTTAAATAGAAATGTGGACATTTATTTTGGGATGGACGGAGTAACACTTTTGATATTCAAAAGTCGAATGCGGAATCTTTTTTTTGGATTAGAGGAATTATATAAATTTCATTTCTATGTACTCCTTCATTGTTCACGATTATTGTTTAAATGGTTTTGCAGGTGTACTTTGGGCAAAATATGGTATGTGAGGATTTACCCGAAGGAAATGAACATATCATCAAACTCGGAGATCCTGTGTACGTTATCAACACATTCGCATCGTATGAGGATACATCAACTTAAATTCTTGTAGAACAATTGTGTGTGAGTTATCATTTTAGTACTAGTAATCTTGGTGACTTATAAGTATTCAGTGAAATAAAGAATCAAAATGCACCAACTTCGAACTAAACCCTTTCAATGTAATACTCCCATGAATGCTCTCTATCTTGAGTCCCCGTTTATTCCCATTTTCGGGTTTTGTTAAACCGGCTACCTTTTGATATTGCTCAACGTTGCCCTCTATTGAATGTGAAAAAGTGATCCTTGAGTTCTTCACGTTTTCTCTTCGTCGAAATATGCTTATATGTTCAAGAAGAGGTTGCCTTCCTCTTTTTTCATTGAATAACAAATGCTCTACTACATCTGAAGAAGACTCAAGGAGGATGAAGATAATGCAAGTGTGGAGTTGAAGCAAGTGCATGTTGGATCATGAATTGCTTCCTTCCTACAAAATCAAGTTTTTGTTCAAAATACACGATATCTTCCCTTAATTTCTGTACCTTCCAACTCCCGATTGTTTTCGTCTGGGCTCTCACCTAATTAGTCGAGATGTGCATAAGCTCTAATTTGAGTTTTAAGGGTTAACGATGATGATAAAAATATTAAGGTCCCGTTTGGTTTATGGGATTGGATTTGGAATTGAATTCATTCTAATCCATGTTTGGTTTAATGGATTGTTTGGATTTGAAATCCCAAGATTTCATTGAAATCCTATAAACATGGGATTTCATTGGATTTGTTGGTATTTCGTATGATTTGTGTTCAATAATGTTTTAAAATATGTTGAAAACATTTGTTTTGTAATAATCAATTAATAAAAAAGTTTTAATTATGCTTATAACTATTTATTTTTTGTTTTTATAAATTATTTATAAAAAATGAAATTCAATTTCATTTCAAATCTTACAGGCCGTACATACCAAAAATTCCAAACGTTTTTACTTGGGGAGTACCACCAATCTGGATCTGGGCCTTAAACGTCATATGTAAAGAAGAATCATTGAGTGACATGCTAAAATTTGGATAGAAAGTGAGAAAGATAGTTCCAACATTTAAAGTAGTTTAATTTACCTATGCAAGCATTTTGGTACTCTACAAACCTTGTGTCTACTAGAGTATTGCGTAAAAATGCAGGGAGACTTTTTCTACCATGGAAAGTAAGGGTCAGTCTGATAGCTCCAAAGTGGATATGTATGTATCTTTGAGCCATGCAGTGTTTGGGGAAGGTCTGTTGGATGTCACTAAGTGTTTTGATGTGGTAGTTGGGAGTTGGTGGGAGTCTAATTTAGAAGCTTGAACAAACTCTTTAACTTGCTCGTGAGAGGTGGATCATATCAATTTTTTTTACCTTTTTTGAAAAAGAAATATTGGGATTAGAAAATACATTATAGGGAGTAATTAAAGGAATACTAGTGATAGATATTCTGGAATCATCTGGGACATAAGAAATTTCATATAATTGGTTTTAAAGGCACAAGACTGTCTAAAACTAGAAGAAGAACGTGATAAGCTAGGGTCTGGATTCATGACTTGGTATGAATTCAATGGAATTAACTTTGTCGGGTTAGCTCAATTGGAAATAAGATTTGGACCTTTTGCAGGTCTAAAGGTGTTTGTGGTCCGGTTTGAGCGATTTAACCCCCAAACCACAAATCAAACCGCGATGATGGTTTATGAATTTTTTTAAGCTGAGCGGTTTGGTAGCAAGTGACTAAACTGGTCAAACTGGACGACAAAATGGATGTCTGGTTTGACCAGTTTAGGCAGTTTGGGCCTCTTATAGGCTTTAACTCAAACCAAAACATGACGTCTATATTCAACATGAAATTTCTATTAACATAACATTAATAAAAAAAAATAGGATGCCGAATTATTAAAGGTACATCTATCTCGACAATTAAAAAAACATTGAGCAAGTTGAAAAGGGTTAAACAAATCCATTTTAACAATAATTAGAATTTTGGATTAATATTGAGTAAGTCGAATGATGATTTGGAATTTTGGTTTGATTTTTAATGGAATTTGAAATTTTGCCAATTCAGATGACATGATCATTTGAGAAATGAAACAACAAACTTAATGTCTTGGATGAATTCTATTAATTGTTCCATAAAATTGAGCTATAACATGAAAACTAAATATAATTAATATATGTATACTTTTTGGCGGTCGTTTCGGTCTAGACCGCTAAAAAATGTTCAAACTGCTGACCCGACTGAACCAAACAGTTTAACTATTTTTAGACTAGATCGGACAGCTAGACCGCTCAAACTGCCAAAAACGGTCCAATTTGACTTGGTTCGACCAATTTGAGTGGTCCAACGGTTTTCTTTAACACCCCTTTGCACACATGCTCCTGACATTTTATAGGCCTTAAGAGAGATGTAAAAAAGGGCCATCAATAAATACTGAAAAATCTTCAATATATTGTGTTTAGCATACAAAATAATTGTGAATACAAAAAAAAAAAAAAAATACTAATAATGCACATAAAACTGTTTTTCCAAGTATTACTAAACACAAAATCAATCAATGATTGTTTCAAAGTTAATATTATCCACCATATCATTTTTACATAGTATCATCAATATTTTTTACCATCAAAAACATTTTAAGATATGCCTTTAATATATAGATTGACATTTTCTGGGGTCACATTGTTGACTATTCAGAGTACACTCTATGTAAATCAATATAAATCAGTTTGGTTTTCATCTAACCTCTTGTTAATGTTTTTCATCACCAATTTAAACTTTTAGGCCTAAAGCAGCTTTTTCGGAACCATCAATCTTAGAATAAAAAACCCATGTTGATTATAGATTGATATCTTATTCGTATTTTGGAGATAGGATAATACTTAAAATTCATACACTCAGTATTAGGTAACAAGGAGTCAATAATGTATATAAAAACAAGGTAATTTTGAAAACCTAAATATATATTAGTTGTATTGTCTCATATGATTGGTATTTTTTTTTCGGAAAATATAAGTTTTCTTAGTTAATAATAAGAAATCTAGTATATTCTAATAGAAAAAAGAATTCAAGCCGATGGAATAGTTAAAAAAAAGTCAATGAGAGATGTATGATGAAAAATATATCAACGTTTCTAGGCAAGTAGCTAGTTTTAGACTATGGTAGTAGATAAAAGATTTAGAGAAACAAAAAACAATACTATAAAATGAACGACCAAGTTATTTTTTACATATGCTCTTCTCCAATATAATCAATCAATATATGTTTGGGTCCGTAATATAATACTTTTAGTTCCTTTCAGGTCCTATTAGGTACTAAAAAGTTTGTCTTTTTATTTACTAATTTTTTTGAACTACTACTATAACCTAAAATATTTTAGACCAACGTACGCCCTCTCTAAGGGACGACCTTGACCTTTTGGATCCTCTTAAGAGGTCACCAGTTTGAGTCTTGAAGACTACTGTGGATTTTCTCAGTTGTTCGTCAAAGTACATGGTGATTAGTCGAGATGCGCATAAGTTGGCTTGGACACTCATGATTAGTTTTTTTAATTGTATTCATATAATATCTTGATCCTCAAATGACGATTACAAACCACAAGTCTTATTTCTTTTTGGTATGTAACTTGACTGGTAAGTTGTTGCAGGTTCAAATCCCTCCAAGGTTGTCAGATATTTGTTTGATTGTTAACTTTAGGGCCTTATGGCCTTATGGTACACACAAGTTGGTGTCCAGATACCCACAATTATCCTGAGAAAACACCATGAGTTATACATGTTAAAACACAGATTGCATGAAAACTAAATGTACTTTGTTTTGATTTTATTTTGTGTAACATAATATCAAAGAGGGAGGTTTAGGATAAGACCCCCTAAAAAATGAAAAATTGAGGAATACCCTGATAACCATTTATCTGGATGATATGTTTCACTTTGTGGACTCTGTTCCACATAAAAGCGATGCAAACCATGGAACAATGATTCATGTTATATTTCATTCTTTCGTATTTAGTATATCAAATACACCCTTATAGAACATAAATTAATAAGACAAAAAAATAAAGTATTTCAACTAAATGTGTTACAATAAGTTTATAGGAGCTATTTTAAAATAATGTATTGTAGTAGCTATTTTATAAGACACTATTGAGAAGTGTCTTATAAACCCATATTTTTATAGGACCTTTGTGTTTATATGACATTTTTTAAATTTTTGTCCTATAAAATAACTAATATGACATTTTATTTTATAAATATTCTAAAATTTGTTATGACGTCCAAAAGCATCCTATAAATGAAGTCTAAGACACCATCTAGAAATTTCAAAAGAATTTAGGTATCCTATAAGGTCAATTTTATTATAGTGTTTGTTTAAGCATTATGGCACATGTATACAAGGGTGTGATCAATATCTATGAAGGTAAGGATAAATAGTTGTTCTACGACCCTTTAGTTTATTATGAAATCGATTTGAGCAAAAGGTTCAGTATTCGTTGAATCAATGAACTTTAGAAAAAATTGTTTCGGGTATCCACAAAATCAACAAGATCAATCTTTGTTTTCAACTTTATACACTGCATCATGCCGATATGTATACAACAATACGAATGAGAATAAATTCACACATGAATACAAATATATAAACCTAGAGATTAATAGTAACTCCCCTGGCCGTGCTTTGACCGAAATCATTTGGTGTTATCTCGGCTGCTCCAAAAACCGAGCCGTGCCTATTTGGGTCATACTTCTCGCCATCACCCCACAACGCATATGCTTCCTCTCCATGAACCGCATCGTCACCAATCAACAATTCATGTTCAGGCATCCGTAATGGCATAAATATTCTAATAACAAGAAGAATGATGGTCGTGGATACAATGTTCCACCCGATCACAAATAACGCTGCAACCACTTGTTTTAGGAATTGTTTCCCTCCACTTCCGCCATAAAATGCACCTCGTGTACCGCTAACCGGCAAAGTCATGCTGCATAGCGTAGGCTCGGCCAGGAGACCCGTCACCAACCCGCCCATTAGACCGGCTACGGCATGGGTGTGAAACACACCTAGTGTATCATCCACCTATTGTATGTATATGTATATATATATCAACGGAGAGTGGGCAGAAGGGAAGGAGATCCTCATTAAAATAGAATAATGATATGTTTCACATGATCAGTAAAAATGAGGGGGGAGAGGAAAATTTGGAACATTGTTTGTGTTATGAAGCTCAAATCGTTAAATTGAACATGTTATTTTTCATATTCAAGATTAATTTCAGCTCGAAAATTATTAATCTCAAACTCAAACAGCTCATTAAAAACTCAAATGTTAACACCTCTAATACAGAATTTAGTGTCATAAATCAAAAGGTTTGTACTCAATTACTTAAAATATCTGAGATAGGTTAGTACTTACAAGGTAAATTGTTGCATGCAATGTTATTTTGGTGGACTAAAATCTTACCCGTAAAGCAATTGATAGTGTTAAATTTTACTGGTAAGCGCTTACCGGATAAGTGTTTGATAAACGCCCCTTAGTCCCTTATTATAATATTTACTTAACTATTGTTACTTAAAAAGTAATTTTGTCGTACAAAGCTATAAATAATATGTCGTATTTATTGCTCAAAAAGTTATGTTATGTTATAAAGTTTATGATACGGTTCATTGATTGTATAACAAGACATAATACATTTCTTAAAATAAGAAACAAAATAAATTATGTTATATGATTATGTAAATTGCACCCTATAGTTTATAAATCAAACTTATAATATAACAAAATTAGTTTTATATGACTCTTAAAATGTTTAAGCGTTCTAAAAAATATATCTTATAAGACTTAAGTTTATAGGATCAAACCAACCTAAAAGTGTTACAATAAATTTATTATAAAAGTGTCTTTAAAAAACTTGTTAAAACTATCTATAAACTTATTGTAACACTTGTAGTATGTTTAAACGTTCTATAAAACCAATTTTATTGTAACGTAAATTTATCCTTCTACATTCTTAATTAAATACCATATCATTATTCATGAAAAAAAATGATAAACTTATAAAACAAGAAGAAAAATGTTTATTGATAAAATAAACAAATACATATATTATTGAAGAAATAAATAAATAAATATAAAAATGAAGATAATTAGATAAGGATATTTGAGGAATAATTTAGAGAGTAGCTTGTCAGTCCTTTGCCTACGCTACGTACAGTATAAGTTGTATTAAAATATAGAATATATTGATTTTTTTTGTTATTATTTAAAAATATAACAAAATATGTGAAATATAAAAATTATAAGTAAAAACATTTTTATTTAAAAAGTTATAACACGCCTCTTTTTTATTTACAAGTTATAATATGTTCAATTAAATATATATGCTTCATAATTTCTTCATAATTACATATTATGATGACGAAAACATACAAAGAAACAAGAAAGACGTACCTGTTGAAGCCAAACTGATTTCTTGTGAAGGATCATCATCGTAAACCATGGAACGCTACCGGCAAGTATCCCCATCACTATCGCCGCCCATGATTGCACCACCCCTGCATCCCAAATTCACGATTCCAAATACGAGTGTTAATGACTTGAGCATTTAACGAGTTACTGGAATCTGATTATCTGAAGTTCAACTTCAGTGTAATTTCTAAGTTCGAGTCGATTTGGAATACATGAATAAATTTTGTTTAACTTAAGGAGTCAATCTCCTTAACATCAATGCTCGACTCAGCTTATTCAGAAGCTAGACTAAGTTTATAGAATACAGTCGAGTCAAGCATACACTTTTTTCCAGCCGAAATTGGTCATACAATAACCATACTGACCTGCTCCTGGGGTGATGCAGGCGAGGCCCGTCATCATACCTTGGATGGCCCCAATGACCGATGGTTTTCCGAAGAAAACCACATCAAGAGTAGTCCAAACTAACAGGCTTGTGGCCGCACTTATGTTTGTGTTCATTACGGCTACAGAAGCAGTAATGTTGGCGGCATATGGAGCCCCGCCGTTGAAACCCGACCATCCCATCCATAGCAGTCCGGCTCCAGCGATCATCAACAAGATGTTATTAGGTGGGAACCTTTCCCTATCACTTTTCAACCTTGGTCCAACCTTCAATGGGAAAAAGAAAACAGTACAAAGTTGTGTTTATTGCAAAACGATAAAAATTCATTACAACAAAATACTTCTACTTACACGTTTCCTTATCTTAACGCGGTATTTAACGACACCTTCAAGTTTATATGTTCAAAACAGCGCACCATCATAATTTATAATAACACCTTTATACTGACCGTACAGTTCTTATCCTATAAATTACAGCTGGCTCAACATCAACAACCTTATAAGCAATCATTTTTTATAATTATAGATGATTAAATCAATATATATATATATATATATATATATATATATAGGGTTGGATCACGTGAGACCAGCCTGTTTTCGTGACCACATTTTTACACTTGAAACTTCACAGCAAAAACACTGTGAAGGTTTAAAAAAATCGAACCTTTACAGCAAAAACACTGTAAAGGTTTAAAAAAATCGAACCTTTACAGCAAAAACACTGTGAAGGTTACCTTCACAACATTTTGCTGTGAAATTTCCAGTGTAAAAAGGTGGTCTCAAGGGTCTCACGAAAACAGGCTAGTCTCACGTGATCCCAAGTCTATATATATATATATATATATATATATATATAGGGTTGGGTTCACATGAGACCAAGAGTTTTTCATGAGACCTGTAAGACCAATTTATGTTCATTGATCAACTTTATAAGCTAATGAGCTAATAGTCTAAAATTGTACGGTGACAATTTTGTGATTATTGAGAAGTTTCGTGGCGTTTATGAATGTTCAGATTGTTATATTGTAGATCTAATCCAAGAATTGAGAATTGGTCTTATAAGTCTCACGAAAAACTCTTAGTCTCACATGATCCCAAGTCTATATAGATATATTTATATATATATATATATATATAGAGAGAGAGAGAGAAGCGTTCAAATAAAAACCACTTAATTTATACAAATCGTAAAAACCACATTCAACTAATCATAATTTTTCATTTTGTTCATTTGTTTGTAATTATGAGAGATTGATTAACTATTTTTATTGTGGAGGGTGTTAATCATGAATATTATCATCTTCATTATTTTAATTTTAGAGAAATACATGAAACAATTTCATAACCATATATGAAACAAATTCATCAAAAAAGTATTATATGAAAAAATTTCACAAGATTAAACAATTTCATGAAAAAATTTCATAAGATTAAACAATGAAATCGACGTATGAAAATGGTTTGTATAGTTTGTACAAATGAAAGTTGGTTTTCATTTGATCGCTTATATATATATATATATATTTTTTTTGATTGATCTAATAACACCTTGAAATTAACAATTAAATATCCTAACAAAAGTCAGAGAGGATTATAATAAACAAAAACTTAAATTGTTTATTGGTAGCGTGATTTGAAGACCAAAACGTGGTTGTATGGTCAACAAATATGGGTTGACTAATTTTCTTAAGAGTCTACTTCTACAGCCCTTGTATTATTCCGTCCACATCTGTCTTAACAAAAATTCTTATCAAAGTCATATATTATTATCTAGCCTCCACATCTACACACATATACATCAATATATATATATATATATATAAAAAGTGATAGGATATTATAAAAACGTTACATTTATACGACCAATACAACTCAATCTTCAATAATTGAGTCGGACCGGCTTTTTAGATGATCCATGAGATCACTCTAGAGATTTGATGTGTGCTTAATGTGAATTGGTTTGTTTTTCCTGTGATGACGTCACCACCAATTTGTTCAGGAAAGAAACTAAAAAGATTAAAGAAACGATGTACGTACCCAATAAGCGGCGGTGAAACCAGCGATGCCCGACGACAAATGAATGACATAGCCACCGGAGTAGTCAATAACACCCCAATGATACAAAAAACCACCACCCCACAAACTAAATGCACCCACCGTATATGAAAACACCAACCACAACGGAACAAAAGCCATCCACGCCCTAATGTTCATCCGCCCAAGCACCGATCCCGCCACCAAAATCATCGTGATCGCTGCAAAAGTGAACTGAAAATAAACCAGCGTAGCCATTGGATATAACGGCTGGCTCACCGGAGATTCAATTGAGCCGTCGTTTCGATAATGGGTGCTCTCAGGCACCCTTGCTTGACGGGCCAGATATTTCTGCCCCAGGGCTGGTGCCCCCTTCCCCCAAAAAGGCAAGAGTTCGTCACCAAAAGCCATACGGTAGCAGAGAAGGACCCAACAGATGAGCACGGCGGCAAAGGCGTAGAGGGCCATGAAGGCGGAGTTGACCGCCCATTTCTTTTTTACGATGGAAGCATAGAGGATGATGAGTCCCGGCATGCTTTGGAGACCGACGAAGGTGGATGCCGTCAGTTGCCAGGCGTTGTCGCCTTTGTTGAGCCATTCCGGCACGGCAGGAAGGTGGGGCTGGTACGCCAGGGTTGGTGGTGGACGGTGGTGGTGGGTTTGGTTCAGGCGACGGAAGGAGAATATTGGGGGTTTTTTTGGACTTCAAGTCTCAGGAAGTGGGTTTTATATTGGATGACAATTTGGAGGAAGTTTATCTAAGGAAGAAGGAAGGAAGGAAGTCATAAATTGTATTAATGACTTTTGTCGTTTAGAACATTTATTAGCGGCTTTCTAAATCTAAAATAAATCATATAGAATGATGGGTAATTAAATCTAGGTGTTTTATTCTATAAGTTTATTTGTTTTTAGATTTATTTCATTTTTAACTTTTTCTAATGTTTTAATTAAAATGATATTTTTTTAAGGGGCTATTTGTTTTTTAAAAATAAGCACTTAATAGGCTCTTATGTCTGAATCGGTCAGACATTGAGCTATTAAGTGCGTTTGTTTTTTTCTTAAATTAAATGCTTAAAATCTGTGAATAGGTCTGAATGTATTAGAGGTATTCTAAAGTCTGAAAACCACTTATTTGCGTCGCCGCTCTCGCTCCCTCTCCATCGCTCAATACCTTTGCTCTCTCCATCTCTGTAAATCGCTACTGCTGTCGCTCAACCTCTCCATCGCTCAACGCTCAACAKGATTCGCTCATCCCCATCTCGTGGCCTRCTGCTCTYGATCTCTCTCTCGCTCAACTGCTGTCGCTCAACCTCTCCATCRCGTCGCTGACTACCTCTCGATCTCTCGATTTAAGGTATCAATCTCGATCTCTCAAGCTCTCTATGTCTCGATTTTCTGAACTTGCTTGGTTAATTTYTGTTTTGCGGGTTTAGGGTTTACCTCCTATAAGGGTTTTTGTATGAGAACCCCACGGTCCTATAAGGGAGTTTGACAGAGGATACATAAACAAGCTGYGTAATGCTTGGTTTTAGTCCCTTTTTGGTTTGTTTGTTTTGTTGGCCAAGTTTTATCATTCAATCTGTACAAATTATGAACACAAAATAGACCCATTTATAAAGTTCACTGCTTTATCTGTTGACTTCAATTGTTCAAGATAGAACGGACCAGTCGAGCAAAATCGATTGGTTTCCTCGGCCATTATCTCGAACAATTAATATTTCAGTCATATGCTGCAATAAATACCATAGAGATGGGCTTGTATAGTTAAGTTGATATAGAAGTTATTTCTTAGCAAAAAAGGATGACTTCAAATGTCTGCTTAGTAGGCTTTAAACAATAAACAGTGAACTGTCCTTGTAGATTTATTATAAGAAGAAATTGGGAACCTTGCTATCATTTTACCTCAACGGAAATTAGACGTGTAGTGCTTGAGGACACTTAATAGCTCAAAACAAACAGTCTTATTGATTCAGATTTCAGATTTCAGATTTCAGACGTAAAAACAAACAGTCTGACTGATTCAGATTTCAGATTTCAGACGTAAAAACAAACAGTCTAACTGATTCAGATTTCAGATTTCAGACGTAAAAACAAACAGTCTGACTGATTCAGATTTCAGACTTCAGCACCACCTCTTAAAATTCAGAAGTGAATTCAGACTTCAGACTTCAGACTTCAGCACCTCTTAAAAAACAAACGCCACCTAAGATTAAGAAGTCGTTTGGCAGTTGTTGAATGGTTTGGTGTAAAATGATTAAGTGGTCAGAATGATTAAAAGACTCTCATGATATAGTGCAAAATGAAATATAATTATTTGGTAATTATTTACAACAAAATTAGGGCGCTGAATTGTTAAGAGAGGCTCATGATACAAAATCATTCATAGGGTTTTAGAACCATTAAGAGGCAGACTTTTTTTCGCCAAACAAGATTCACCTCTTAACGATTCAGAGGTTGTCTCTTAATGAAACTATTAAGAAGTAAACAAATAACCCCTAAATTATAATCAAACCGGATAATATTCGGTTTAATCATCTTGAGCTATTCAGTTATCAAGTTATTTGGTTTGTTCATTGGATTGGATATAGTGTTATCGGGCTTGGCTTATGATAACTCTTATTTTTAAGAGTTATTTCTTATGTATTTCCTCCCTTTTTGCTAATTTTAAATACCCAATTTTCTTGTTTTTGTCTTTTATTCCAAAAAGTTTTAAAAAGATGTTGAAACACAAAAGAAGAGGTATTATTCCAAAAATCTGTATTTTTCTGACAGCTCTACCCACTGTGGGAAGTCTTCCAGCCTTGCTAAAGCTTCTTGGGAAACGTGTAGCTTAAAAATTTCTCCAGATATTTTCCTCCAGCTGTTATGAGCTGTCTTCCTTATTGTATTTTATTTTCTTTTGTATTTTCTTTAACCTAGTACTAATTACCCTTGGGTAATGATTGGGTGTCCTTCACCCCTTTGCCTCTCCCCTATATAAAGGAGCTTGGGAGAACCATTTTGAGTGTGCAAGGGTGTGCCAACTAGTGCCAAGAACCATTTTGGGAGATGTCAAACACCATCTTTTGTAGACATTACTCTCTAAATTTCTCTCATCTCTTTTAGTAATTAATATTATGCTTTATAAATGTTTTTTAATTTCATGTCTTTAATTTCTTGTCTTTAATTTATGTCTTTAATTTCTTGTCTTTAATTTATGTCTTTAATTTCTTGTCTTTAATTTTATGTCTTTAATTTCTTGTCTTTAATTTCTAGTATTTTACTTCCTTGTACTCGTAATTTAGTTTTACATTAATGCAATTTATATTTCAGTATTATTTTATGTCTTTAATTATGTCTAGCTAAATTACTTGTATGGGTGTGGGTGTGGGTGTGAATTTAACTTAKGATGTTTTTATAATATTTGGGTGTTTTTATCTTTTATCACTTCGTAACTTGGTCACTTAAGACGATGCTTAAAATGCGGATAAGCTGATCACTTTGAAGTGTTAATATTAGATCTTAGACCCAGAGATGGGCGGATCCAAAATACGGCTTAAGTGATGCACAATGAACTCGAGAGGGTCTTTGAATAATTACGCGGAGACGCGAATTTTGCATGCATCTATCTAGGGGTTAAGTAATAGGTATTTTCATCACAAAGAGATTTGGGTGAAATTTGCATTCCTTTTACTTTTTAGCTAGATCGGCAAGTCTCGAAGTGGTAAACGTAAAAACCTTATGGACTTTTATAAGGCACGGTTATAAAAGTTCACTTTCGAGAAATTGGAACTTTTATAAAGAACTCGTAAAAGTCTAACCATTTTATTATTAATTTTATCTTAAGCAACACTTGCACCCATGCCCATCATTTAATATTAGAAGTTTATTTCGTTAATTAGCTAGTCGGTCCTATTTCAGTCTTTTTATAAACAAAAATCCAAAGTTATTTTACATCTTGAAACTCGTGCAAGAAGTTCATGAAAAATCTCTAAATCTCAAACGTCCTTTCTCTGTGGGAACGATCTCGGTACTTTGTACCACTTTATTACTTGCAAGCGATCATAGTGTCGGCGTGCACTTGCACCGTCATTGTGGGGATATTCTGCCCACTTAGGAAAACACGAACGATCCCTTCCTGTCAAGTTTTTGGCGCCGCTGCCGGGGAAAGGTAACGTGATTTTTATCCTGAGATATTTGATTTTTCATTTGAGCCTTGTTCTTTTGTTTCACTCGTACTTCCCGTGTTGTATGCCAAAGCTACAATACGGTGAACTTTTACCTCTTGATCTTGAACTAGAAAGAACCATTAGGAGACGTAAAAGAGGTAGAAATAATCGTAACCAAACCATGGGGGATAATCCACCTCCACGGGAGGCCACGGTTAACATTGCCGATGATAAAAATAGAGGCATACGGGACTACGCAACCCCCGAATTCGGTCAGTTGGCCGCGGGAATTGGTAGGCCCGAAATGACAGCCACAACTTTTGAACCAAAACCCGTAATGTTACAAATGATTTCCGCAATGGGTTAGTTTGGGGGATTATCGTCGGAAGATCCACACTCTCATATAAAATCTTTTATCGAAATGACGGATCATTTTAAAATTCCCGGAGTTACACAAGAAGCCTTACGCTTAACGGTTTTCCTTTACACATTGAAGGATAGAGCTAGAGCATGGCTAAATTCTCAACCACCAAACACGATCCTAACTTGGAATGATTTGGCGGAAAAATTTCTGAAAAAATACTTTCCTCCGACGAGGAATGTAAAAACTAGAAATGAAATTATGACGTTTCGACAAGAAGAAGATGAAGCGGTTTCGGATGCATGGGAGAGATTTAAGGATCTTCTACGGAAATGTCTTCACCACGGAATCCCTCATTGCATTCAATTAGAGACATTTTATAATGGCTTCTCCAGTTCTGCTAAAATTATTCTTGACGCAACGGCCGGTGGTGCGTTCACAGCTAAGACTTACTGTAACAACTCTGCACTTTTGGATTTCCAGGTTAGGACCTTATTTCGGAATCTTCATTAGAAAACTAAGTCTTTTAGGATTAACCTTATCCAGAGTATGATCTTGAAAAGGTTGCCTACTCGATCAGAGACTCTGGCGTCAGCCACAGAGGCTCTGATGATAGCCACAGAGGCTCTGGCGACAGACACAGAGGCTCTGGTACTATTTACAGAGACTTTGTGTCTTTTCTCAGAGACTCCGGCAACTCTTCACAGAGACTGTGTCTCTTCACAGAGGCTCTGGCATATTTTTGCAAAAGCTCTGTGTCTCCGCACAGAAGCTCTGGCGTCTTTTCTTCACAGAGACTCTGTGTCTCTTCACAGAGGCTCTGGCATGTCTTTGCAAAAGCTTTGTGTCTCCGCACAGAAGCTCTGGCGTCTTTTCTTTGCAAAGGCTCTGTTGCCTTCTTTCTGAAGCGCTGGTTGCCCATATTTGATTATTTTTGTGCGGCAGCTGGTCTTGTTCCAGACTTGGACATTTTGGTTATTTTAGACTTTTGGGTCTTAACTTAAGGAAATGTATAAGGGGCTGTTTGTTTCCCTCTTAATGGTGACATTAAGAGGGCACCTCTGAATCGGTTAGAGGTGAGACATGTTTGGCAAAAAAATAAAAGCCTCTTAATGGTTACTCAAAGCTCTTAA